CGATGCTTTCACACTGGCAATGCAGTATTACATCTTTTGGCATAAACAAAACCAGGTTCCCTCAGCCTGGTGCCTGTTTTATTTCTCCAACTTCCATCTCCCTGGCCACTGAACAGGCAGGCTGGTTTATACCTCGGGTGTCAATATCCAAAACATCTGGAGGGCATCTGGTTAGGTAAGGTCAAACTAAACAAAAAAAAGTAGGCCACAGAAATCTGTAGTAAGTATTAATTAGGGAGAAGTGGAAAGTGTCCTGAACTGCACAGAAGAAAAGGTTTTCATGTCATTCAAGAGACCAAAATGGGCATTATTTTAAAGAGACAAACAGCAGCCTTATCCATTTATATTTTACTCTAGAGTAACATCAGGCATCCAATCCAGATTAAGATCCTAGCATGGGAGTAGAAATTATTTCACCCTACTTCCTTGCTAGGGTCCTGGTCTAAACTGAACATGTCATTTTTGTTGCAAAATTTTGCGATAGTCCCTTACTTTGGATCACTATTTTGCAATACAAATTGGAGACTTAATGAGTTCAATATCTACTTGGATCATAGTGAGACCATTTAAATCCTCCTCTCCGGACCACATATTAGAGTCTTGATCTGGATTATTCTCCCTCAATTAATTCTAAGTGGAACTTTAAAGACTGCTGTCTGTGAGCATAACCCTAAAGAGCCAACATAGCATAACATAGCTGAAGGCCAGTTCGGTCAAATCTAATCCAGCTAAAGCTGTGCTGGATCCCAAACCTTTCCGGACTAGGAAATTATTTAGGACTACCCTCACTTTGGCCTAATTTTTACGCTAACATAATTGTCAGATCCAGTGTTAGAGGAGATTTATATGTCAGCTCCTCCCTTACCTTGCCTCTTCTTTGTCCCTTCTCCCTCCCCTTTCTTTCTTTCTTTTTTCGGGGGGGGGGATCTTCTGCCTGCTGATCCTAGCCAGTATAATTGTCCCTTCTCCCTCCCCTTTCTTTCTTTTTTTGGGGGGTGGGATCTTCTGCTTGCTGGCAACAAGCAGTTCTGCTGGCAAGTCTTTCTGTTGGCAAATCTCTGAAATCAGTCACCACAAGGTTGCTTGTTCCGGCACCACATGCCTCTGTCCATTCCAAATACAGTACAGTTGCTGATCTTTGACAAGTTTCTACTGCATTTCTTTCAAGGACTGTCTGCTTTGATCCTCAGATAAATGTAGATGTGGTCTCACATCTTCTCTCTGTATTAATTTATGTAGGTTTGAACTATTCTATAGGATACTGATTTGAGCAGACCCAAGGGAATGTTAAATGGAGCTCTAAAGCGGAGGTTAGGTTCAGTGGAGGCACCTACCTCCACCATTACATTCCCAAATTCATATCTTCCTATTTCTCTTTGCTTTTCCCTCTCAAAGATATTTTCCTTTTCTCATCTATAACTGCTGGATTATTGGTAATGGTGAGTCAAGAACTGTTGAAAGAGAAAACAGCAGGGGCAAGTCGAAGGGGTGTCTTTGGCTCCTTTTGATCTATTCTGCTCTTTTACTCTTCCTTGCTTTGTCTCACAAATCTCCTTTATAATAGGCATCATGAATCTTCAGTTTACAAAATGAGCTCTTCCTATTATATTCTACTGTTGCCTGCTGTGAACCAATAGTGCAGCAATAAATCTGAATAAATAAGCAATATCCTCTGGTGTTTGTACTGTATAATAAAATGTAGTGATGGGATAGCTTGTTTTGTCTAGCCTACATTGTGCCTGACAGGACAACTTCCAAAGCTGCTAAGGAGTAACTACTGTGACCTCAGGCTAATTGAGGTCTGTTGAAATTCACAAAGTCTTAACACATTTGCCTTGTGCCCAGCTAACTTTTTTTTAAAAACTGTCTATGTTATTTATACCATCAAAGATATGTGTATAGTATGATGGATAAGCCTATTTGTAATAAGCCACATATTCCTATTCTTCAGTGGAGGAGCTGGATAGAAGCCACTTACATTTACTTCGCACTTAATTTAAAGCAACTCTTTATAAAATTTATGTAAACTTTAGACAATCTTTTAATGCATTTGCTGAGATTACACAGATATTAATGAAGTATCATGAACCAGAGGACACATACATTTGCAGAAACATAGTACTGATATCAATGAACTCCTCAAAGAAGATAAACTCCATAAAAGAAGGAGAGATAACATTGACATGGGCTGCATTTGAATCCCTATCATTTTTTGATATAAGTACTAAGGCTACAGTTGACTGAAATGAACCCCTCCTGACCATTAGTGAAGCTAGTGATGAAGTGCCCAGGAATGCTTATGAATATTCCAACTAGTCAAATACTTTAAAACAGCTTACACATTTTAAAAAGGTAGATGGAGAGAAAAGGAGAGAGAGAAAAAGAAAAAGTTTGGGCTGGGAAGTATTCAAGTTTCAAAAGTCAACAAATATCAAATATAAACTTTGATAATATTAATATCAAAGTTCAACTTGTATAAGCATGAGAGTAGTACATATGAACAGTATGTACCTAAGAGTACTTTAGGGTTGTGGATAATGTGAGGAGGTATGGCTCATGTGGGAGGGTGAAATAAGAAAAAACACAGTACTGCAGATCCATCTACAAATAATAGTAACATTAAATAGAAATCCATTGGAACTTTTAAAAATGTCCATAATGCTTGTGATAACTTTTACAAGCTCTGGTATACATATCTTATAGCCAACTGACTAAGTACAACATCATCAACAGTGAAGCAACAATCTGAATTCTTTTGAATCTGGGGGTATAATTTCAATCTGGGGGTAAAATGTTACAAATAAAATATTCTATAGATGTTCGTGGTTGGAGGGATTTCATACACAGATACAGTCCAAATCACGTTATCTACATACAGCTTGAGGGCCTTTAGTGTCATGAACTCCAGATTTACAACACACAGATCAAAAATTTCTATCTGAGTACAGATGCCCTTTTATTTTGTCATTTGGAAATTCACTTGTGCACTTTCCCTTTCTAAAGCATCTTCTGTTTGCTGGTGTGAGTCAGCAGCTACTAAAATAGATCAAAGACTCCTGGCAGAGATACTGCAGCATTTGCATCCACATTTTTTGTTTTAAAGAAAGAAGAAAGAAAGAAAGGGGAGGGGAATAAAAGAAAGAATACTGCTTTAAGAGCTTATGAATAACTATTGTTCATTAATACTGTATTACACTCTGACCTTAACTGAGACTTTACAGTGCTGTCCTCTGAAGATGCCGGCCACAGAGACTGGCGAAACGTTAGGAAGAACAACCTTCGGAACACGGCCAGAGAGCCCAAAAAAACCCACAACAACCACAAGACTTTACATTACTGAAAACTACATTTAACTTTTGCTAAACAAAAGACCAATGCCAACCTCCTTCTGAGGTTCTACTGATGGGGAATTCTGGTCAGGAAGGTAGGATAGAATCATGCCATTTATGAAGGCATTGCCACTGGCAAACAGAGGATAGATTCCCCGCCCACACACACACACACACAGAAATCACTGCTTGCACAATGGCTGTGTTTTCATGTGGTGAAAATCCATGTTGTAAACATTGGCAGGACTTTAAGCAAAAAGACTGAAAGATGGGAATTCTCCTGAGCGAGCTGTATTGATCTGACTGATGTTCTTGCACCAATCTATTCCATTTTAACAGGATTTATACAGACAGCCATCTTGGTGGATGTACTGTATACATTCCTCAGTATACACTGAGTTGTTCTTGGATTTCAAAATCAGCTTTCAATTCTGCAAGAAAATGCCAAATGTGCTTTCGTAGCAGCATATTTAAAAATCACTGGCCAGAAGAATCAGTTTCTTCTTACCTACTAGAACAGGGGTGGACAATTAATTTCTATAGGGGCCCACATGAAAAATCTGAACTGTGTTCGGGAGCCAAACCAACATTACTTAAAAAATAAAATGAAACAGTGATGTTATGATTGTTTTATTTTAAATTCGGTAGTCTTCACAAACACTAAAGAGGTTTTTTTTTTGCTGTATGTTAAAGATATGCAACTGATCAACTTTAGACAAAAAGCTCTAAATGGTTTTGATGTTCAGCTTGTTTAGTGAGAGAAATCCAGTCTGTCTTGGGCTTGAACAAGTGCTTGAACACCGGACTGGAGCAACGACTGGCCCAGGTCTGTACTAGAATCAACTGTTCATTATGCTAATTTGTAAAGATACATGATCAAATGTTGTGTGCCCAGTTAACAGTAACTGTCTTGTAAGAGTGGCCATTTCTGTGGACCACTTCAGTCAGGCAGCTCTTATTTCAGCTGTCCACAGGAGGGCCAATTTGCTATCTGCAAACACTGTAGCATTGATTGATACAGACAAAGGGAAGTGATCGTTCTCAGGGCGGCATTCCACCCTGAAGTTGCATATTAAGCTTGCCAGATCCTTGGAGACCATAATGTAATCAATGGTTGAGGCCACCATTGGTGTGTATACTCCCCTGGCCTGTCCCCCTCAATGTACCCATTTAGTAGGTCTAAATTCAGGTAGTTGGCCATCTGCATTAAGCATAGACCTACATTTTCAAATTGCATTTTGTATATTTTAGCCATATGATTTATTTTAAGAGCTGGTCACCCAACCATAATAAATTCATTCATTCATTGTGTGCCTTTTGAGAAACCTGAGCTTCAATAATACTGAGAAGAGTCTGCTTATATACTTATTATGCTCCATGCACAATTCTAGGTCTTCATTCAAGGGAAAACTCCTAATTTAATAATTTTAAGTGAGAAATGTCTTTGATGTTACTGAGCATAATTTGTTAAGAATCTAGTGATTTCACTCTAGCCATTGGTAAGATTTCAATATTTTCTACTGTAGTGAGTATGCTGAATACCTAACTCTGTGAGTGCATGCTCATGCACTTTTGTGCATGCTTGATCAATTAACTGTGAGTCAAATTTGCCAACATAATGGCTGGAACGCTATACAACATAATCTGGTTAAAGAGAAAATGCCCCCTTACCTGAGATTGTGCATTAATATTGGCTCCTTCTTTAACTAGAACTTTGACAACTTCAGCTTGTCCAGCCAGGGATGCAATGTGTAATGCAGTATTCCCTTTCTGTTTGTAAAACAGAAAAACATGTATGCATGTATTTCATTCACAACTGTGAAAAAGGATTCAAACTAATAAACAACTTTGTTTAAAACATAAATATAAGTGCATCATATAAGGGTGCAACAGCTTCCCCTTCCTTTACAAGATAGCTCTGAATCTACTACAGCACCTATATTCAATCAAATGGATGTACAAAGTAATCATGATCACCCTAATGATAAATCAGGAGTCAGGTATACAGGGACAAACTCAAGCAAAACAAATGTCTCCTGTATCTCCCATTCCTTTCCAGAGCTCAGAAATGTTACTGGTTTCTATGCAGCGAGAAGCTATCAAATGTTCAAACTGAATTGTAGACCAACAGAAGTTCATCATCACCACACAAAATCCTAGCTTAATGTAACATGCAAATGTGGTCTTTATGTGCAAGTTGAGTCATGCTCACACAGCTCCACAAAAGCTGTGCATCTGCATTCTTACAAAACACAGATATAGGATTCATGAGGATGAGTAAGAAGGAATGCAAGTGTATTGTGATGTGACAACTGGATGAAACCATTTCAGAAACATTGTCATTTGTATTTTTATGCACAGATGAGATACAGATGACTTATCTAGATCTATCACATTTTTTCTCTATGTGTGTGTGTGTGTGTGTGTGTGTGTGTGTGTGTGTGTTTGAATACAGTACCTTGGTAGCAGAATCCACTGCAGATCCTCTTTCCAGCAATTCTTGAACAAGTCCCACATGGCCTTCTTTGGCAGCCAAATGGAGAGCATTAAGTCCATTCTGAAAGCAAGGAAATTACATTGATTATTAATTAGCACTCATTCATTTATTTTACAAAAAATTAAGCCAAAATTAAGCAGCCATGTATGAATGACCTTGCAAGTCACTGAATCGACCATGAACTCTGTATACCAAAGTATTCTAGAGTCAAATATGAGACCATCTGTCCGGCAGCTAAAGCTTGGCTGAAATTAGGTCATGCAACAGGACAATAATCCCAAACACGCCAGCAAATCTGCAATAGAATGACTGAAAAACAATCAAGGTGTTGCAATGGCCCAGTCAAAGTTCAGACATAAACTCAATTGAAACCCGTGGCGGGACCTTATTAGAGCTGTGCATAAACAAATATCTGCAAACCTCAATGAACTGAAGCAACATTGTAAAGAAGAGTCGGCCAGAATTCCACCACACCAATGTAAGAGACTGATAAAGTCATACAGAAACTTACTACTTCAAATTATTGCAGCTACAGATGGTTCTACAAACTATAGAATCATAAAATGTACTTAATTTTTATACATGGCTTCTTCAATTTGGCTTTATTTTTGTAAAAAATAAATCATGAATTGTGTTGATAATATGTCATGTGTTGTTGTTCATCTGAGATTGGATTTACCTAATTTTCAGACCTGCTAAGGACCAGATAATTTTTATTATGTCTGACATGCGAAACCACAGAATTCAAAAAGGGTGTGCTTTCTTTTTCACACGACTGTATTAATGAATACTTTAAAGTTGTAACAGCTGGTACAATGCTTATTTTTAGCCAGCATTCTTCAGTCTAGTTGTTTCCAGATGTACTAGCTTATAATTTCCAACTGGACACACTGGCTGAGACTGATGGGAGTTGCAGGATGAAACATCTAGAGACATACTATATGTTTGGGAACATTGATCATAATAATATTATGCCATCAAGTTGATTCCAATTTATAGCAACCCTTACCAGGGTCTCCTGAGTGTAAAGTACTCAGAAATGGTTTGCCATTCCATTCTTCTGGGGCATTCTGGGGCTGTGTAACTTTTCTACAAATACACAGGCTGTCATTCCATTCTTCTGGGGCATTCTGGGGCTTTCCTACAAGTAACTTACGAGTAACTTACGAGTACACAGGCTGGCTCTTCTTCCTGGAGGCACAGTGGGGAATCAAACTCCCAACCTGACTCCATATTCCAACCCAGTGAACCAGCCCATTGGCTTTGGGAAGACTGATTACCAACTGATACTACCCTAAAGTGACAGCTGTTCTCTCTAATTTAGTTTTTTCAGGATCAATATGTTTTCCCAACATATTATTTCTGGCTAACTCTTTAAAACAGCAATATTTACATGTTGATGGCTAGAGACTGTACTGTAACTTAAATTCTTGTCAGTCCTTCCCATTGTTGTTTATTTCCTTTTGTATATTTTTGCTCGACTTTCACATGGAGGGGGAAAAATCATTCTCAAAACACAGCTTGTGAAAATTGGAGAGGATCCAAGGCCCTAATTTTGGCAGGGTCAAAAGCTGTTAGTGCCAAGAGGTAGTACTGTTCAACTCTGAGGAACAGGTCCCCATGGAACCTTAAAGGGCATCTCATTGAACCTTCTGCCCATGGAGGAAATCTGTAAGAAATTACCATCAACCTCTAGTTAGCAAACTCATGTCAGATTTCAAAATCCTTTGGAAAATATCTTCATTTCAGTGGCACCACTATGAATGAAACATCAATTCCCTAAGAAGTTTATCTGTGGCCCAATAGGTTAATTAAACTTTTACTGCATATATTTGCCTCTTAAGTTTGAGGGAATTTACAGAAGGGTGTATAAAGGATGAATCCTTGCTGTATACTCTCAAGATAACTTACTTTTTGCTGCTGCAAAAGAGTTTATATTAATACAGCCAATTTTCGAACAGAACCAAGAAGCTTTTACCCATCACTATTTCATATCTGAAAGTTATTTCCCAGAGTAAAGAAAGTGGGGCTACATTTGCACTTTGCACCTATTCTTCTTAAGTCTGCTGACTTCAGAAGAATAAGTAAGGTGAGCAAATACCTCTCTATGACTCAAATGAATGCATTGAAAGCAACACATTACACTTCTTCAGCAGTCTCTCCACTGCATATTTGTGTTACGTGTATCAATCTTTTTTTATTAGTGTAAGGGAATATAGGGTCCTGTTCCAAGGACAGAGATCCACTGCAGAATGCTATACAGTAGTCCTTGTTTGTTCTAGATTTAACTTTTTCTCAACTGCAGCCAGAGATTCTATACTATGGGGGGTGGGGTTAGCAGTAAACCGTACTATGCAGCTTACTCCTGACTAAATTTGCATAGTATTACAACTGTGATCAAGGAGAAGTTGAATCTTTTATCTGCAAGATGTTATGGGCGGCAATGGAAGCAATCCAGCAAGTACAGCTCAAAGGCACAGCCTGTTTCATGACGCAGGTTGTGTGCACAGTTAAGTGGGGAGGCAGAACCTTGTGCATTGACATTTAAAAAATATTGCTCACTAATCTAAAAATATCAGTGATTTATGATTTTCACAATTTCATCTGGCATTCCAGTTCATATTATATGAAGCAATGACATGCCATTATAATGCCACTAAGTCTGAGAGACGAATAACAATTTGAAGAAGCAAAAGACAGAGTGCAGATAGATAGCTGATGAAGTTTGAGGCAGGAGGAGGAGACTATATTGAGTAATATGAAATGAGACAATTTGCTGCTGTTAGCTATTATGCCAACTAGATGCTGTGCTGCAGTCACAATTACTTCAGTAGCATAGCAGCTACTTGGGCAACATAAAAAGTTTAGAACCATGGGAAGGGGTCCCTCAGTGTAGTCTTCCCCACAGTAGGGTGAATCCTCAGAAAACTGGATTAAGGCTACAGTGGAGAGAAATTATGATGACACGGTATAGATGTAACACTAAATTATGCATTATATTATATATATTAGCCTGAACCTCCATACCTTCTCTGAATAATAATAAATTGTGGTCAGGTAAAAACAGAAATGGAGGTTTCTTACTCTTCAGCATTAGGTCCAAATGGCTGAGCTATGAATGCTCCCCTGTAGACCCAGCCTTCACACATTAAGCCCAACTGCATTCTTTCCAACAAAGTACTGTGAGTTCTCAACATTTAGGTACTGTGGAATTAATTCAAAAAGAACTACCAACAGCTAAGACTCCAGAGCTAGGAATAGGGGCTATCCTATTACTACTTTTTATTTTATTTTAAATCAAGAATACATTATTGCACTTGATTTTCTTTCTGAAAGGCAGTGCATGCTACTGTATCTCATCCTAAAATATTCCAGACAGTTCAAAAAGCAAACTTTTCCTATCTAATTACTAGGTTAAATTCCCCCCCCCCCAGTCTCTTTGTATGATATTCCACACCTTAGTAAACCACTTTAATTAACCTGAAAAATACTTAGCAGCCCAGAGTTATTCTTGCTGCTATAAATAGATTCCAAGCCAGTGATATTTGATTATGCTTGAAATGTCCTACATTTTACACTTTTGGCTAAAATCAAAGTCTTGCTGCAATAATTCTTTGACTAGTATAGCTCTTTCTCTCTTTCTTCCTGAAAGAAAAAATTACACTATGACTGTAGAAAATTGATATAATTATTGATACAATTCCTGGGTCTTTTAACCATATATATCATTATACAAGATATTTCAGTTCTCCGGGTTCACATTCCAATGCAGAATTCACACAGAATTATACCCACGAGACAGATATTTTACCACACTTTCATTTGAATTATTGTATCCATTGTTACAAGATTTCAGGTACTTGTCATGTTTTGTTTTTACAGATAAAACAATGGCTGGGATCAAAACAAAATCTCTCAATAAACGTACTACATTTTGCCCTTTGAGATACTCTTTTGTCCTAGCTAATGTAATTTTGGGAAAAAAAAGTGAACAGTTTTCACTAAAGTATGCTAGCGAGAAGTGATATACTTGGGTTATTCACAGGTTAGCCCTGTGGGTGGAATGGAATTCTCAGTCGGCTTGGGAAGTAGAAAATAGACCAATTTAACTGTAATTCTCACCCTACTGCTAACTTTCAAAGCCTTGAAAATCCCACTGAGTCCAAAACTCATACAGTGCAAATTTTACAGTACATCCATATGAGAGTGAAACTATACAAAGCTGCATTATAGTTAGCTTCAAACCTCAAAAAGTTATTTTAAAAAGTAATTCATTACTGTTTCAAAAAGTAATTCATCCCAGCCCCAAAAATAGTTGGTATTCTCGGTCTTTCTCAAAAGTAACTCTCTACTACTCATTTTTTCAAAAGCTAGTAAAAGCTTTATTTTTATTATTATAAACATCTGAATGCTGGCATAAGATACAAAACACACTCTTATCCCATCTCTTTATTACTTCAGTATCCAACTAGACACAAGACAGCAGTATGAACCACTCTACTTCAAAATTTAGTGAGGCCAAGTTGCTGTAAGTTCAAACTAACCTTTAAAGTTGAAAATACAAAACAAAGGGATTAGTATTATCTACTACAGATATTTCGTAGTTATTGAAAAAAGGAATTAATTCTGACTATTTCTTACTAGTAATTGCCAAGCCCTGGAGATCACTGGCTCCTAAAACCACACTGTCTACCTATAAGCCTCTTTATTAATAATATTAAAACATTCACTGGATCACCTCAGGATTTGCTAACATGCTGTTTCATAGTCTGATCCTATATAACAGTCTCCTGAACCTAAATTACTAAACATGTTGTTTACATTAGCTTGGAATAAGATTTCTTAATTTAGCTGTGAAGGGGAAAAAAGTCATGCACAGTTTGAAATCTCTTTCAAGTAAATTAAATATGAACAACACACTTGGGATGACACTTTAATTAAGTATCATTGTAATAGTCAATGAATTTCATTAGATAGGAAACGTTCAAAGGGAATTGAAGTATACATATTTATTTGTCAGCAATCTACTTCTCATTAAGCCGCTCTTGATTTTTTTAAAG